GTGTGGTAAGCTGTCTTACCAGTGTCTGTATAGGAAGGTGATTCTGATTAGGAGAGTAACTCCGATAGGAAGGTGATCAGGAATAGGAAGGTGACCTTGAATGAGAGATTGATCGGGAGTAGGAAAGTATTCTGAGGGGTTGTGGGCTTTGGATTTGTCCATGGACCTAGGACAGGGCCGGTTTGAGGCTTGTGCCCGCTCAGTTTGGGCCGGTTTGTTCCTCATGTTTAGAAGAGAACTATGGCTTGGGCCTTTGCAGGACTGGGCTTGGTCCTTCTTCGCTATTTGGGCCAAGCGATTTTTTGGCCCTAACAGAGAGCTTTTGGAAGTTTACATCAAAAGAAATGAAGAGAAGTTTTAGAATTGGCTTGGTAAAGCTGGGTCCACATTACACAATCCTTCTAATTTATAGAAACCTTCCCTCACTATAGCATCACATAAATACTATTGAGTAATATTTTAATATTTTTTTTTAAAGAGCATTAAATGTCTCTTTTGCAAGGAATCTCTGACTTTTCAATATTATGCCAGATATTCTCTGAAGCTGATGTCGGTTTTTTGGCCAGTCTTCTTTTTAGAGAAGCGGTAATTTCGAACTGTTTGGAATAAGTTAGATGATTCCATAACAGTCATCGTCATTGCTCTGGGCGAGGTTGACCGAGGCACAAGATCTCTGTAAGATTCTTCTCCGTCTTCTTCTTCTCTGCTTCCTTTCTTCATCTTGGAGTTGTGAAAGAATAGTCTTGTTGCTTTGAGTTCTTGTTTTGTCTTGGCTCCTGCTAAGGATACTGATGCCACGTCTTTTTCTGTAAAAATTGGCAATTTCAGGGTAATTGCCTGAGTTTGATGAGGTGAACTTGAGAGACAAAGTTGAATTTTTTCTTTGGACACGTGGGATGCATCAAATTTATCACAACCACTTACTTAAATTTCCGGATCAAATTAGGGAGATTGCTAATATTTTGGACAATTTCATATTCCCATTGTAAAATCCCCGAGGGTGGAACTTTGCTGAGAAATGAAGTGATGGAGGGAAGTTTGAATCTGCTTCGAAACTTTGAACTTGAGTTTGAACTCATTGAATCCTTCATGGACAGTTGGGTAGGATTTCAGGAATTAATCCAAAATGAACCATTGGGAAAACCATTTGGGAAATTTGAATAAAGTGTCCTTTTTGAAGTAAATCATCCAGGAGTGCCTGTGATGACTATTTTGGAGAAAAGGTGATCTTATCCAGGCTCTTTGATGGTCCCATAATTATATCCAGGGGGTCAAATTTTGAGAAAATTTTCTGAATTGGTTTGGTTTGAGTCCCCAATCAGAGACTAAGGAGTTATGCAATCAAAATGTTTTTTCCAAAGCTGATTACCTAAACCAAAACTAAATCTGGGGCTGAAGCTCTTGGATAATACATTTTCGGAGGTTTTTTTTCCATTCATGTTGTTGATTTGAATAGAATGATCACTTGAGGAAGTATTTTGATCATCATTTTCTGATGATTCTGATGAATCTGTTTTACCATAAAATTTATATGTTTAGAAGTTTGGGGAGTGTCTGGTGCGACAACACTAGAGAATTCTTCTTTTATTTGGTTGAGTTTTCTATTTTTCTTGCATAATTTCTTCTTTGTTGGTTAAAGTTTTAGTGTATTTTGGAGGGATTTCATGTGGAATAAAAAAGGTTTGTTATCAACAATTTTTAGGGTTTTTTGACTTTTCGTCAATAGTTTTGAGGATGGGTTTTGCAACAACATCTTCAATTCTATTTAACTGTTCGCTAATAGTATTCAAACTTTGGTTTGCATAATTATTTTGTTGATAATATTTTTTTATATCATTTTCTGATATTTCATTTAAATTTTCTTTGACTTTAAAATGTGAAGCCTTAATTTCTACTCCTATAGGGAATCATTACTTCTGTTAAAAGTGGATGAATTGACTCTATTTATTCACTATCTTTTCCTCTTGCGATTTTCCACGGTTTTGTTTTGTTTGGACATGATTGTTTTTTTTTACTATCAAACCTTGGAAGAAAGGTAAAGAATTTGGTGTGTTTTCATAAAGTTGTAATAATTTTGTTGAAGTAGATCTCTTTCTTTTTTATTAAGTTTTTGAAGAATGTTTCTCTTAATTCTTGATTATCTTTTGAATAAAATCATTTTTAAAGAAGGTTTATCAATATCAAATTTTTCAATAATGTTTAACTCTGGCAAATCTGTCATTGGGAATAGGTTGAAGACATTCTTCATGATGTCTCTTCCCCATCTTGTTGGGGGGTGTTTGAACTGAATAATAAGGTTTGGTATGGTTGAGGAATTATCATTCCTTGAATATTTGTTTTAACTTGGCTAGTCAAGGGGTTATCTTACTGAACAAGAAAATCTTCTTTGTTTAAGAGTTCTTTGGGATTTAATTTGGATGAGAATAAGTGTAAGTCATCAAACTTATTATGGAGGCCTACTAGACCTAATCCGAACACTTCCATTATAATTTTAGTTATGTTTTCGATTTCTGTATTTTGGATTGGTTGGTTAAAGGTTTAGGAATTCTCATTTCTAAAGGAATAACTGTGTTATGTTATCCCCAATCCTCTGGTAAAGTTATTTGATCTCAATTGATCTTTTTAGAACTGTTATGTTTAATCTTGTTAAATCAGTTTGAAATAACACTGTGTGGCCTTTATATTAATGGCTCTAGATTCAAAAGCTGATTGCATTTTATATTGAATCCTATAAATGGTTGTTATAGGGATGGTTTCCCGGTTTTAGTCATAATTAAACGTTTTAATATTTAAAGTTAAAACGTCTAGTATATTTTATCATCTAACAGATTGTGAAATCAGGATAACAATTGAAATAAATTGGTCCATTGGATAGCGGATTCTATTGTTCCTAATAGAGAATCTCTAAATCTTAGTCAAGCCTTCAATGCTGAAAGGTTTGATTCCTATTTGAACAAGTCCTGTATGAAGATAATTATAACTCTTTTTTGTATTTTTTAACAATTTCTTTAGATAATAATTGAGTTATTTGAGTAGAATTGTTTATCTAAGAGAATTGAGTTATTTGAGTAGAATTGTTTATCTTAAGAGTTTTTCCTTCTGTTTTAATAATGTATTTGATTTGTTTAAAGGGTTAACTCATTGAGACTTGATAATTTTCCTTCTTATAACATCTGATATAGAAATTTTGGGAATTTTTCCATTTATCAAAATGTTTTGTAAATCTTGAGGTCTTATGACCCGTTTATCTTTTTGGTACAATCATGACTTGTTTCAATTATATTATCATTTTGATTTATACAAATCTCTTCTTGATGAACAATCTGTTCATCTCTAGTATTAACTGGAAGTAGACATTGATCTAGAAAAAGTTTTCCATTTTGTGAATCACTTATTTCTTTCCCTACAGTGGTTGGTCACGGGACTTACAACGTTAGATCCTACAGCCCTACACAACCCAAAAAGACTTGGTGCTCAAAATAATTAATAAATAAAATTTAAACAATCCTAAATCCACTGGCTCTGATACCAGAAGGGACACAATACTTGAGTACCCAAACCAAAATTTCTATATCAGAAGGGACACAATAACCAAGAGCTCTGGTAAGATTCTTCTCTTCTTCTTCTTTTCTGCTTCCTTTTCTTCCATCTGGGTTGTGAAGAATGTCTTGAGGTGGTCTTTGAGTTCTTTGACGTTGAGTATTTTTGGAGATATTAAGGTTTCTTTGGATGGGTTTGTGTATAAAGTTGAAGATAGAACTTCCCCCATTATTTGTGTGGATATCCCCGAATCATCACCATAAATGGTTGTATTAAACTAATGAAGGGTGTTCCTAGTATCATACTTCTTCTCAAATTTTTTACTAATAAAATGAGGTGTTTAAACAAATATTTTGATTACAAACTTTAACATCTGATAATTGTAATTGATAAAAAGTGTTGAGCCATTGGCTGATTTAGCAGATTCTAGTATTTTTTCATAGTATTTTGTAGGAACTAAACCTTCTTAGATACAATTGAAGTCCTGAAGAAAAGGAACCAAAAGAAGACGGAGAAGAATCTTACCAGAGCTCTTATGCCTCGGTCAACCTTGCCCAGAGCAATGAAGATGACTGTTATGGAATCATCTAACTTATTCAAACATTCGAAATTACCGCTTCTCTCAAAAAGAAGACTGGCCCAAAAACTGACATCAGCTTCAGAGAATATCTGACATAACATTAAAGATCAGAGATTCCCTGCAAAGAGACATTTAATGCTCTTTAAAAAAAAAAGTTATTAAAATATTCACTTAATAATATTCATGTAATGCTATAGTGAGATAAGATTTTCTATAAATTAAATGATTCGTGTAATATGACCAAGCTTTATCAAGCCATTCTAAAACTTTCTCTTTCATTCTCTTTTGATATAACTTCCAAAGCTCTAAAAAAGAAAGCTTTCATTCTAAATTCAATATCTTTCAATATATATATATATTGTGACTGAGAGTGTCCAGATCATTTTAAAGTATCTCACTATCTCTCCATCTTAAGTTAACGATTGAGTAACCTTTGACCATCCAATTAACAACGAAAAACCAAGTTTATGACTCTTAATAATACATCAAAGAATCTTTTCTTTATATATTAATTTACTAATTTTTGTATTTCTTTATTTTAAGATAACATAAAATTGGTTGGACATTTATTATTATAGTGATTATGATAGAATTTTTGTGATTTAATTATACATATAGAATTGTTTGTTATTTATTTACGAAAAAAACTCGTACTATATTTACAATAATACTGTGTTTTGCAAAGAATCTTACAAAGTAAAATGATAAAAAATGAAGGAAAAAGTAAAATAAAAAGTCAAACTCTTAATTCACTAATCCATTTATTTTTTACCACGTAAGGTATTTGTAATTTTTTTTTTTTGGGTAAACGATAGTATTATTCTAATTTTTACGGTTATATATGAAAATTTGGGGACGTCCCATATACACCAGTCAGCTTCCTCTGAAGAGGATAAGAAGATAACACGAAAATCTTCTTACAAAATTGGAACTCCATTTCTCTTCTCTTACAACATACTCAGCAGACCTCACTCACTCACAATTTCGCGGCCATGAAACCGCTCCTTTCTTTCCACACTCCTTCAACTATAACAACAGCACTACTTCCACTTTCTCCCCTCTTCCTCTTCCCTCCCTCTTTTCCCCTCCTTTCTTTCAAATCCACTCCACTCCGTACACATTTTCCCCTCAAATCCCTCTCAAACGACAAGTCGTTTTTCTTCTCCGACGACACTCCCCCTCTACTTTCGCAAAATCAGCAGCAGCAGCGCCCGAGGACGCTGTACCCTGGCGGTTACAAGCGCCCCGAAATCAAGGTGCCGAATGTCGTCCTCCAGTTGGAGCCCGGCGAGGTCCTCGCCGGAGGTAATGTGTTGGATTTGATCAATGAAGCGGTGGCGAAGTTCGTCGGTATTGTCGTGCTTAATGGTGGCGATGCTAGTGGCAAGAGCGTGTATGAAGCTGCTTGTTTGTTGAAGTCACTTGTGAAGGACCGCGCGTACTTTTTGATTTCGGAGCGCGTGGATATCGCCGCTGCTGTCAATGCGAGTGGAGTTGTACTCTCTGATCAAGGTAAATAATTCTTATCTTATGTAATTACACTACTGTTATGATGCTGAATTGAAAACTGTGGAGTTAGGTTTATTGAATTTGGCTGGACTTATGATAATTATTAGTAATTCTGTTGACAACTTTGATCAATGTATGACAAAATCCGATGATTAGCAGATTAGCTTACGAATTTGGATTTTCATTTGTTAGTTTTGCAAGTACCAAAATTTTGCCATGCAGTTTTGTTGTAGTTGTTACTTGAACTCTACATTGAAAAGCTTTTGATGTGTTTGTTCCAGGTCTTCCGGCTATTGTTGCAAGAAACACTATGTTGGATTCAAGGTCTGAATCTGTAGTTCTACCTTTAGTGGGTAGGAATGTGCAAAGTACGGATGCTGCCTTAAATGCGTCTAGTTCTGAAGGTGCTGATTTTCTTATATGTGCTTTAGGAGAGGGGGCAGATGCTGATTTGGTTGACAACTCTTTGTTTGCTGATGTGAAGATACCTATTTTTCTCACAAATGCTTCACGTGGAGAGGCTACATCATCGACCATGGAAATGTCCAAGTTTCTTAAATCAGGTGCAAGTGGTTTGGTTGTTTCCTTGGAGGAGTTGAGGTTGTTTACCAATGATGTTCTGAGCCAATTGTTTAATCCCATTTATGCAATAAATAAGAAACCTCAGGATGAGCTTGAAAGCTTCAGTAAACTCAAATTGTTGGATGCAAGTAATAGTTTTCATGGGAAAGAGAGGGTGGCTGGCTTTGTTAAATTGGAAGACAGAGAAAAAGAGCTCATAGAAAGTGAGAGATCAGTGCTGCTTGAAGCAATAAATGTTATCCAGAAAGCTGCTCCACTGGTGATCTTTTAATTAAAGTATTTGGTAGCTCAAGTTAATTGTTTCAGATAATTCAATATTTATTTTATTTTTAATCAATAACTTGATCTTGAATCAGTGAAATTGGTTTTTTAATGATAGATGGAGGAGGTTTCTCTTCTCATTGATGCGGTTTCTCAACTTGATGAGCCATTTTTTCTGGTTATAGTGGTAATTGTGTGCTGAACTTCAACAAATTCTGGTTCCAGGGATATACATTGGTATTAGCTCTGAATTTCAAATAAATCCTTTTCTCTTTATTTTAAAGGATCTAGGACTAATAGACCTTGTTATTTGTCCCCATGCTTTATTAACAAACTATAGAGTTTTGAAAGTATGCCTCCAGTATCTATTTGTGCTGTTCTCATATCTCGCATAATAAGCTTTTTTCCCGTTGCATAAGTCATAGATCAAACCATGGGGTCATATTTCATTGATGCTTTTGTAGAAATATCATAAATAGTTGGATTGACAAGGATTATACCTTGATTATCAGGAGGTGTAGTCACAAACTTTGTTCTGCCGTTTACTATGCTTAGGAGAACATGTATCATCAGATGACAGATCCTTACGTCTTTCCCACTATTCACCTGCTCAACACTTCTGTTTAATCCCGGTTATTAAATGATTTTTGTTTTAAGCGTCATGTGCTGTATCATCTGTATTTTTCCTTTTGTCCTGTTAAAGTGTTTTCCTTCCTTCTGTTCTTTGAATGAGAATGTCATCTTCGATTATGCTTTGTCAAAACTATTCCAATTAAGGTTTAATATTAAAGAGTTTCATATGTTTGATGTTGATGCTGCAAACAAAATCTGTGGTTAAAGCCTAATGTATGTTGTGTGATTTTTCTTCATTTTTTGATAAAGGTTTAAAGAACAAAGTTCGTTAACTGAAAATAGAAAATTGTTTTCTTGATGAGATCATTGAGTATTATATGCCGGTCTCTTTGTTATTCATGCCATGTATTTCAATAGAACTTTAATATCCTTGTAAGTTCTCCTATGATTTTCTTATCTTCCTATATGCTGCCAGGGTGAGTTCAACTCTGGTAAATCATCTGTTATTAATGCACTTCTGGGGAAAAGGTATCTCAAGGAAGGGGTTGTTCCCACAACTAATGAGATCACTTTCTTACGCTATTCTGACCTGGATTCTGAAGAGCAACAACGATGTGAAAGGCATCCAGATGGTCAATACATCTGCTACCTTCCTTCTCCAATTCTTAAAGAAGTGAGTTGTGTTGATATTTCATTGCTATGCTTCTGAATTCAGCTCTAGGTGTTCAAATCCCATTGGTGTGCTTGTTATTCATGTAAGCTTTATCTCAAATTTATCCTGTAGTGGTCATGCCTAGACAGAAATGCATGCTTCTCTCAAAGTTTGTTTTGGTAGTTGGTTTGATTTTTGCTATACTGTATTAATCTGTTATGTGCATAGAGTTTCTTCTTTTTCTTGTGCTTGCTGTTGCTGGAAAAAGAAGTTGCATATTTGAGTATACCATGTTTCATAGCATTCTAATGAACCTGTGTGGTGAAATCAGGGTGATAATTGCTCTGTTTCAGAGACGTCTTTAAAGTGATATGATAGATAATGTAGTTCACACGTTATGTTTTTCTTTCACATATTAACATATTTGTAATCTTTGAATGTGACATCAGGTTACTTTTCCATAAGTGGGTAAAGACTAAAGATTCTAGAACATAGGTTAACAGAGTGAGTTGCATATAGAAGAGAGTATAACTGCTTTAAAAATAAAACCCATTGAACTACAAAAATTTAAAGATGCATAAAAGGAATTGTGTAGGTCAAGTTTGTCATGTGATCTACTCAGGCTGCTGAATATACATGAAAGAAAATATATTTCAGGTGAAAAATGAAGCTTCTTAATGGGGTTGGCATTAATAGGGGAAGGCATACATAATTTTATGTGTATAAAAAATGTAGTGAAACCAGAGAAGTAATGACATCCATGTCTTCGTTATTTCTTCTGTCTGTTTTCTTAACTGCAGTAGTTTACTGGAAATAGATCTCTGTGCCCTTTTCAGATATTTTGTTGCTTGATGAAATTGATTTATTTCTTCTCTCTGAAAGCAGATGATTATTGTTGATACGCCTGGGACTAATGTGATTCTGCAAAGGCAACAACGCCTTACTGAGGAATTTGTCCCTCGGGCAGATTTAGTTATTTTTGTCATTTCTGCTGATCGTCCATTGACTGAAAGTGAGGTATGATTAGTTTCACTTGTCAATGTGGCAGCTTACTATAAAATGTTTTTTACTTGTGAAAGACATTGTATTGATATTATTGGCATATGTGGCTTCTATGGCTGCATTCCTTGTTTATTTTAAATAAAAACATTATTGAGTTATGCTCAAATTCCCTATCTGTGACTGGAAGTGGAACTACAGTGAAGTTTGAAAGTTCTTGCTGGTGGATCTGTTGACTCATTACAATTTAGAGCCTGAAGTTTAAAAAAAAATTCATTCTGAAAACTTAACCATATTTTCTAAATATGCGTTGGTACATATTTCATATGTGGAGAAACTTTCGGTTTGGCTGTTAAAAATATGAATATCTTAAAGATTTATGTGACTTTTATCATTGTTTTAATTTAGATAACATCTTTAAGTGGTACTTGTTACTGATGTCAGTTTCAATCCTTGTGTTATTTTCCAGGTGGATTTTCTTCGTTATACTCAGCAGTGGAAGAAAAGATTTGTGTTTGTGTTGAATAAATCAGACCTCTATCAGAATGCTTTTGAGGTTTAATTCTGCACTTTCTTGTACTTGATATTTGTTACAGGGAGACTCCTAAGTTGGCTACTTCTTGCAACTTAAGCTTCTAAATTGACACCTAATTCTTTCTGTGTTTAAATGATTTCATGCAGCTTGAGGAAGCTATATCATTCATTAAGGATAATACACGGAAGTTGCTGAATGTTGAAAATGTAATAGTATATCCAGTGTCTGCACGATCTACCCTTGAAACTAAACTTTCAGCTTCTTCTGCTGTTGGAAAAGACTATGGAGAATTATCTGTCATGGGGTCTCATTGGAGCAATAGCTTTGATGAACTTGAAAAGTTCTTATATAGCTTTTTAGATGCGTCAACGAGTGCTGGAATGGATAGAATAAAGCTTAAACTTGAAACACCAATTGCAATTACAGAACGTTTGCTTTTTGCTTGTGAAACTCGTCTGAGACAAGATTGCCAATATGCTAAGCAGGATTTGACCTTGGCAAATGAAATGATTGATAGTGTAAAAGAATATACGAAGAAGATGGAAATTGAGAGCATCAATTGGAGGAAACAAACTTTATCACTGGTATTGTTTCAGAAATATAAGTTTCCTGAATCATGAAGGCAAATTGCCCATATTCCTTAAATTGTGTTTGTTTATGAATTAGCTTGTTCATGAAATTGCAGATTGATGCCACAAAATCACGTATTGTGGAGCTTGTAGCAACTACTCTGCAATTGTCAAATTTTGATCTTGTTGGCTCATATATTTTTAGAGGGGAGAAATCTGCCACAATGCCAGCTACCTCACAGATTCAATATGACATAGTTGGTCCTGCACTCTTAGATGCACGAGTAAGTTTTCTTCACCCGGGTTTTGGGTTGAAGTTGATGTTGGAAAAAAGTTTGTGCATTTAGGTTTCATTTTTATTTAACACATGGATTTGAGCCACCTGATGCCAACCACATCTAGCAAATTTGGAAACCTGAAGCAGCTGATGACTTGGCTGCTTCAAGTAGTACAAACAAAAGCAGTCAGTTGGGCTGATTTGATGCGGTTTACAAGTGTGTTAAAATTAAATGAAAGGCCAGAATTTCAGGAGAAAAAGAAAAAACAAAAAAAGAGAGGAACCGAGAAGAAGAAAAAAATTGTTGAGAGTGGAGGGAAAATCCGGGATAGAATGAGAGACCAAGAGAAAATGGAGTAGAAGAAAAGGAAGAGTGACCCGTAGCGCGTAATGGATCGGAGGATTGAGACCAGATTCAGCAACAATTGTTCCTCATAAAATTTGTTGTCCTTCCTATTTCTCTATGAATCCCTAAAATTTGTGGTGTTAGAGCATGCAAGGCTTTTACCCTTGACCTCATTGGTGTATTCAATGGAAAATTTCATTTTTTGATGATTGCATTTCCTACAGCTCTTTCTATTCTAATATTTTTCCTTGAGCTGCACTGATACTTTCATGTTAATATCATCTTGGCTTACAGAAATTACTGGGAGAATATATGATGTGGTTACAATCAAACAATGCTCGTGAAGGGAGACGGTACAAGGAATCTTTTGAGAATAGATGGCCTTCACTTGTATTTCCAAAAACTCAGCTGCAACTGGAGACCTACGATTTGGTGACAAAAGTTGACGAAGTCAGCTTGAAAGTTGTAGAGAACTTCAGTGCCAGTGCTACTTCCAAACTGTTTGAGCAAGAAATACGTGAAGTGGTAAGTTCGAAACTCTACAGGATGATGAATTAAGATTATCCAAAAGAATTGAACAACAAATAAGTCAATGTGAATTCAAAATTGTCTAATGTTATTTACAGAACTGGTATGTCCTAATTGAACAAGAAGTTGGCATCTCCATTTAGTAATTTCTTTGACAAAGAAAGTTCACCCATATGATAGAATGCTGCAAATTTATTTAGATATATTTTTGTTTTCTTAGCCACAGTGAACTAGCTAATTGTCATGCTTATTAAGTCCAAATATGTATTTTGGGAAGACCAGTGACCTTTGAACCAATAACTTGGTAATCAATTTGTGATGCAATGTTGTGTTGAGATATGTCTAATAGTTTAAGAAGCTGGTGCGGAGCTATGAACAAATATGGTCATGCAACTTCCCTGACTGTAATATCAAACTCTTGTTCATTTTTTTGGGTTCACGTAGTATTGAACTCTTGTTTCTTCTTTACTTCATGGAGAGTCCTCAATGTGTTATATCCTAACCCTGTATATTTCTCATCTTGAAATCCTTGAATCATCATTTTGTATTTACAACACCAAATTTTATTCATTCTTCTGTGACTTTTAAATAGTAATATGTTTGAACACGTGTGTGTGTGTGTATGTTTCCTGTTTAGAACAGAAATATGAATCCTTTGAGAATACCAATGGCTTATCACGATCTATTTATTTTGCCTTTTTTGTGTAATTACTTTGGTATTCCTGTACCAAGAAATTTATTTTGTTCTATTAGAACCATGGTTCAATTAACCTGATGAATTATATTTTCACATTGATTTCAGTTCTTGGGGACTTTTGGTGGACTCGGAGCAGCTGGTTTATCTGCGTCGCTTTTAACATCTGTGTTGCCTACCACTTTAGAAGACCTTCTTGCTCTGGGCCTTTGTTCTGCTGGAGGGTATTACCTATTCGACTTCGCCCACATTTCCTTGTTACTCATATTTTAGTGCTTCTGTTTTCATTATGTGCTTTGCAAATTGTATTGTTTCCCAGTATCTGATAAAATCTTTGTTCTGATATAAGGTACATAGCAATCGCAAATTTTCCATCTCGGCGACGAGGAATGATAGAAAAGGTTAATAGAGTTGCAGATGGATTGTCGCGTGAAATCGAAGTGGCAATGCAGAAAGATCTCTCGGTAACTGTTGGTTATCTGGAAAATTTTGTTAAACAAATTGGCAGACCATATCAAGACGCAGCACAACACAGACTAGACAAACTTCTACAGATTCAAGATGAACTATCAAATGTCCAGAAAAAGCTTCAAACCCTACGAGTCGAAATCCAAAATATTCATGTCTCATGACACTTTCATTATTATTGTCATTATTTTCTTGGGCATTCCTTTTTTTTTTTTTTTCTTTTTCCTGTTGATTTTTCTCTGGACGACAAGTGTATCATATATCGATATAAAAAATAAGAATATTTCCTTAGAATGAAACTAATACATACATGAGATTGGGTGATTTTATAAGATCTGATCTGTTGTTATCATTCACAGAGATTATTCTCAATTAGGTTCTCTTTTTTTTTGTTCTTTTCATTCTCTAGCTAATGTAGATGAGGATCTTTACATAGAATAACGCATTGAAATCTGAACGAAACACTTTGATTACGTTGTTCCTAAGCTACGAATTAAAAAAATCTATTAAAGCTTATTCCTCCTGTCTTCCCTATTTTTGTCGATGGATACCCTAACCATTTACCTCAATTTTCTTCCTCATTGGTGGGTTAATATTTAAAGTTTTTGGCAACTTTCCCTACAAAGGAACTCTCATAATCATCATACGTTTTATTTATAAAACCAAGAAAAAATATATTTCTTCCCAAAGCAGTAGTACTAGTACTAATATGATATTAATGAGTGCCAGTTGAGATTCCAATAGTTCCAACAACACAATGATATCTCTCAAATCAAAACCGTCCATAAAGTATTGTCTGAGGCTACTAATAATAATCTTAATTATCAAACAAAGGCAGTGGATCCTTTTGTTTGAAGAAAACCTTAAAGAGACAATTGCTAAAAGGCAGTGGAATATTATAGGTCAAAAGTTGTCACACAGCATTTTCCTGTTGACATGTTTGTTTAGGCTACTACTAATCTTTAATTATCTTCCTAATCAAACAAAGGCCGAATCCGGCATCCTGGCGACACGTATCCTAAATGGGTTTGAATTGTTTTTAATAAGACAATGGCCTAAAAAAGTGAAAAAGGCAGTAGGATCAAAGGTCAAAAGTTGTCTTAGGCTACTAATAATCTTAATTATCTCCCTTATCAAACAAAGGCCAAATCCGGTAACCAATCACCCGCCAACACGTATGCTACATGGGTTTTATTTTTTAAGAAAATTGCAGCGAGACAATGGGCTAAAAAGGCAGTAGAATCATGGTCAAAAGTTTCTCACACTGCACATTGCTGTTGACACGTTTGTGTGAGGCATGATTTTGATGCCATCATCTTGTTTAGCGAAAGATTGGCAAAGTAGACAAATAAATAAACGAAAGTTAAAAAGATTAGTAACATAAAAGAGAAAGAGGGAGATGGAGATGGAGATGGAGGCCTAAATTTTGTTTTTTTTTTTTTTCATGGTTTTGATAACAAGAAAGGATTATTGATAATACAAAGCGACCCCTTTCTTGGTTCACAAAGGTCTCCCTTTCCCATAATTTGATTGCCAAAATCTAAATAACGCATTCTAAAAGCAAATTTGATGGCTAGGGCTTAGAGAGAGTTTGCAAAAGCCATATTCCCATCAACTTTCCAAAAGCAATCCATACTTTTAAGTTGTTTTAACGGTGTCCTTAGATCACAAATAGACAAAAAATTTGATTATTTTGATGTATTTTATACAATAAACAGATAAATAACATATATTTTCAAATATATTTATATAATTAATTCTTTTATCTTTTTCTAAAGGCTAATCCATATATTAAAACTATCGCATAATTCATTTAAAATGAACTCGAGATAGGTAATTTGAAAGTATTTCTCTTGAAAGGATTACATAATTTGGCATAAGACATGAATATCATATCTAGATTTCAAAAGATTTTAGGGGTGTAATGTTGTACAGATTTTGATTACTTGATTTATAAAACCAGACAGTCTTGTTGCTTCCAAATGTGTTTGCCCCAAAGCAATAATAAAACAAGTTAGTGGTTCTCAATCAACTGAGAAATTGACTGCGCCTGCGGCGGAACTCACATGAAAGATTTTGACGATCTTTTGGTTCTTCTTTTCATGAAGTTCTTGCTTTTACGTTTTTGGTTCGCAATAGATTTAGTTTTGTGTTGCAAAATTGATTCAGTTGGAGATATTTCTTCAGGTGAAGTAGCCCTTTGATGATGACATAATTAAGATATATACGAAGTGTTCAAAGAATCAAAATTCGTTCAAATATCAAACGGGATAGAACAGTGAATTTCTGCTCTTCAATAAGCGCTCGACAACACAGAGAGGAGAAATGACAGAAAGTACTGAATATTATATGCGAAATGACAGGCCACAGCCACGGCAGGTTCTGTGAGTCCTATAGCTTCCTTTTACTTTCATTGAACTACTTGATGTCTTCTGCGACTGCAAGTGGAATAGGGGTAAGGGTAACAGTCTCATCTTCTGGCAAATTCAATCTGAAATGTTAAATTTCAGTAGTCTTCTTGTGGTTGTGATAGATTCGAATACCAATCAATTATAAGAAGAGTTTGTGCTTGTCACGCGCAGGCACTGATATTCCTTCAACGTTACGCCCTTTTATTGGTTCAATATATATACATATATATTCTTTTGTCTCATGTTTTATGATAAAGTTGACACAAAGCTAATAATTCAGAGCTTCAACAGTGGAGCAAGCTAACTCAATAACCAAAAATGTTTTGTGGAAGAAGGGTCTTTAGTTAATTTAAACCAGACAAACTTAAGAGTGTTTTAAATCAAACAAACATATCCGTACAGCTTTGGCATTTACTTGAATTAAAAAATACAAAAGCTAGTAGATGGTTGCTTTCTTCTTCTTCTCCACTTAGAAAAACCACTATACTTTGATGTTGATTTATTGAGTAAACGACTTTTTCCCACCCAAGGTTTGCCCTAATGAAACTTTCTCACTCAAAAAATTTCAAAATACCACTTTCCCACCTAAAGTTTATATTCCATTAATACCTAAAATACATTTCACTTTCTTAACCGGCATTGAGTTACCATGAGTTAAAGTAAGAGGGGTTTTGTAGAGTGGAGGCCGATGAATCGAATGGTGGTGACCGATTGAATATTCATTGCCAAAAATCAACCAAGAAGAGAAAACCCTAACTTTGCAATGACCGATAATCGACGAGAAATCAAACGTCGGAGTGAGAGAAGTTTTATAAAGAGAAGACCAAAGGTCCAAATAGTGATTACGGAGAGAATTTTTGCCATCGGAATTGGCTTTGAGTAGTAGTGGAATATAAACTTTGGGTTTGAAAACTTTTTGGGTGGGAAAGTTATTAAGGCAAACCTTGGGTGGGAAAAAGTGATTTCTCTTAATTTATGATTGGAATCTATGTTCATGATTGTTGAATTGAAGAAAAGTTGGGAGACCGAAGATATTAAATTATTTTAGTGTCTACCAATGAGTTCTTCTCAATTGTGGTCGGTTTGATTACTTAATAATTTAATTTCTGTTAATAAAATTTTAGAGGATAATTGGTTCTTTTGAGTGCCTCCATCCATTTTGATATTAAATTAAAACGGAACCTTGCATACCATACATCACTCAAAAGATTTTTATATAATTTGACCACCTCTCTCAATATAAAGTTGGTGAGATGCCAAGAGTAAAAAAAGGTGGAGTCGGTGATTTTAATTATGGAACTAGTTTTCATCCTTTGTAAAACACAATCAACTAAAGTTATGTTGTAATCTTAAAGAAACAGGCAACATATATCTGGGTTTCGAAATAAAAGATCAGACACTTTGTTGTAATAAAGACAACTTTATCTTTTACAAGGTAAGAACAGTCGGGTCTGACGGTTAAAAAAGTTTGTTCAATTTATTGAGTTTCTGGTAGATAGTTTTTGAGCAAAAGAGATCAATTTTTTCTTGTATTTTTCTTGTCTGTCTGTCTGTTTTTTCTTTTGGCAAGAAATTGAGACGGATCAGAAAACCCTAAATCCAAAAAATCTATAAACTAAATGGGAAAACAAAAAATGTGTCCTGACGTTAGTTGAATTACAATTTTTCATCATATTTATTTTTGGCTTTAAATGCGTGGCAGAGTAAAATGAATAGAATTCTAGTGGGCATAAAAAAGTTCTCCTCTCTCATACTGGACAGTTTGAGGCCACTTTCAACTATAAATTTGCACCCAACCCTTCACTTCCCTTTCATGCGAACTCTTTTCTTTCTTTCTTTCTTTCTTTCTTTCTCTTCTTCTCAGTACACTTATCTTATCTTAACTTACAAAGAACCCTTTGTTTTCTTTCAAGTTTTATAGTATTTTAACATTCTAACTCCCCTGTTTCTCCCCTGTTTTTCACCAAAAAAAAAAAAAAAAAATAGTAAATATTCTCTTAGATGACGAAAATGTCCTCCTCAAGTTTCTGTCAAGGGTTACAATCATGTCTTGAGCCTTGCTTCGAAGAACCACGTGTTTTGGGGCTCAGTTTGGCTCCACCCAAATCCATGTTTTCTCGATCAAATTCTCCTTCTAATTCTTGTTTCAGTTCTCTTGATACCCTCAAAACTGAGTCCCACACTGAAGATAACAAGTCCTTCATCCACGCAAACACAAAGACAAACACAAACAGCCATGATTGTGACGTGAAAAGTGAAAAAGTTGTTGACTTAGGAGGCTGGAGTTTCCTCAAGTGCGTCAACTATACTTCTCCTAATACTGAGACTGACAAAGTTTACGTTCATCCTCTGGTTAAACGTGCGGCTACTTCACTTAGCACGAAGAGCCTTGAAATGTGCACTGAGAGTCTGTTCAGCGAGACGGGTAGTGATCAAGTGAGTCAAAACGGTGATGACATTTCCATGTTTTTACCGGAAGCAGAACCTGAGATTTGTTATACAAAACAAGAACCCACAAAACCGCCTCCGAGTTTAAGTTTTGTGACGAAAAGAACAAACCGTTGTGCTAGTTTTCCTCCTCCTTTAACATCTGTTGCCGGAGTTCAAGTGAGGCCTCATCGCGAAGGCGGGCGTCTAGTTCTAGAAGCCGTCACTGTCTCTCCTTCCCACACCTACTTTCATGCAGAACGCAGAGGTGGAAGGTTGAGGCTTTGTTTGATGAGGGACGTTTCTGACAAAGCAGAAGCAGAAGAAGAAGAAGAAGAAGAAGAAGAAGAAGAAGCAGAAGAAGAGTTCGGCGAAGAAGAAGAAGAGTTCGGCGAGGAAGAAGTTGAAGATGAAGAAGAAGCTGACTGGGGTGAGGATATCGAAGGAAATAATAAAAAAATTAAGGGTGAAAATCTGCGGATGCCAAGCAGATGCAAAGAAGGTGAACGTGGAAACAAAGGGCTGCTTAATTGGAAGCCATATTGGGTGGCTACTTGAACTTTCAAAGCTACCCTCTTGCTCTCTCTCTTTCATCACCATATGGAATTGCTCGCTTTCTCTTTTAGGTTTTTTTTTTTTTTCAATAATTTTAGCCTTGTAGATTTCCGTACCATGGATTCCGTAAAATATGTTAATGGTAGTTATTATCGTTACTGGACTTGGTCCTATTTCTCTCTCTCTCTCTCTCTCTCTTTCTCAGGTCCTTTTCTTTCTTGCTGTGCTTGTGTTTTTATTTTATTATGCTCCCAAACTACCCTTAACAACAGAACTTTATTACAATTCACCCATTACTTTTCCATTAAAATGGACTTTGAATTCTGAATTAACACTTTTTTTGTACCTGTGCTGCAAAAGCAAGAGGGCTAGCTTCAGTATTTATATATATATATATATACATCTTCGAGAAGAAAAGGTCAGAGAATAGTTTGAATATTTGAGTGCAGAAAGTAAAGGGTACTGGTATTTTCCTCCTCCACTCATAATTGAGATTGCTTGCAATATAGATATTTGTGTACATTAATCGACCGCCACAACCCAAAACAGGAACATAAAGAAAATGGCTCTCACTATCAGCTAATCAGTTTTATGATGTAATGTTATGATGATAAGGTTGAGATGAGGAGCGCATTTTGGTAGAAAAAGTGGCGGAATGGCAAACAGAAATTGCAAGTTGGGGTGTACCATCAGAGTACGAATGCCTGATAACAATCAAGATTGGGTCCGATAATAGCAGCATCACTGAGCTCATACACATGATTATCCATGTGCTTTTGTTCTTCTCTTACCACCCTTCTAACCATTCTATCACACAATGTAATGAATTAATGGCCCCCAGCTCCCTAGCCCAGGCCAGGCCCCATTCTTTCATCACAATTACCAATTAATTCTCATCGCACAAGATGGTGAAGTTTGGAGTAAATTTTGATGTGGGTTTGTGTAATATCTCCTTTCCAACTCGTCGAGTGGGGTACGGACAAGTCTGAGCACCACCATATGAGGTGGGTAACACGATAAGTACTCATTGTAATTCTTTGAACTCCATTTGGCGAGGTGGGTAGGGATAGGGTAAAGGGTAAAACCGAAACTGGCCCCATTAGGGTCTCGTTCTGGTTCTGGAAAATTGGAATTAGGAATTTTCGAGTCCAATTCTAGTTCCTATAGTGCTGGAACTGGGAACTGAAACCAAAACCATATTGAAACCGAAACCGAAACCAAGATCTGGGTACCCAAATAGGATCTGGATTGAATTATAATTTTTGTATACTATTGAGGGTGTCTTTGTAATTTTTTGGGGGTCTATCTATCATTTTTTAAAAATTAGGGGGTAGCTAAAATTAGCCCGGATACCTGGAACCAGAACCTATGTTTTAGGTTTCGGTTCCAAGTTTCTAGGATCCGGTTCTAGATTTCTAGGTTTCGGTTCCTTCAAAAAGTACAAGGTATTCGGAACCGCTCACCCGTAGGTAGGGATATAGAATTGGTGATCAATGAAAGGTAACCACAAACCCAAAGAGAGAAATTAAGAGAGATGGAATTGAAATGAAATGGAAGTAATATAAAAGTAGTAAAACATTCCTTGAAAAGAGGAGGACAATATCCAATCGTGTAGAGATAGGGCATCCATACATTAAGGTATTATCACAACATGTGTACTGTCAACATGGATATGTGCTTTCAGAACCTTATAAAAGTTATAGGCACATATTCTCTCAACATATCATCTCACAAAGGTACGCAAAATCTATAGGCAATCGCCATGTCTCCACATTTTAATTCTCACATGCTACAATTTATATCTCCCATCTGATGTCAATTTATGAGTTACAAAATGATGCTCAGATCTATAATTTTAGTGGATATTATTTGGTTCAATTCAGAGTACATGAATAAGTAAATAATTTGAGAAAGTTTAATTTAATTGTTGACTTCGTCTTCGATTGGTACGTATTTGCTTTTTTGCTTCATTTTTTGTTTTGGTTGGTCACATACAAACGAAGGAGAAAGTGTCCTTTTTTATACTCAACATAAAAGACTCGGTAAAAGTGACCCATGGCACGGACATTTATGCCAGTATGCCAATATACTGATATCTACCTGAGTTGAGTGTACATGACTCATCCAAACACTTGTTAAATGGACTTAGCTATATGGACAAGATAACATGACACAGTACCGACTGCATTTTTTCTATTTATTTTGGTAATTGGAGTTTTCTTTCTAGTTTTTTATATATTTTAACTAATCTTCGAGATCTATTGAATACTCTACAAACTTGAAAGATGAAGTAAACCACAATGTTATTATGATAGATTGTCCTAAATTTTAAACCCAAAAACTCGAAGAATGGAGCAAATATTTTTTACCATCAGGCTAATCCTTAGGGTTAAACTGCTTTTATTGTTCCTCGCTCCACAACACATTGACGTCAATACCCATAGCATCAACCGAAGATATAGATGCTCTCTTTGCAAATTTATTCTGATGAAAATGGAAGAGATTCTCAGATTCAATATTGAAGATGTAAATGATATATACAGTAGGGTAGTTAAGTGTCAACAGTAGTCTGAGGAATTTCCAGAGTTGGGTACACCTGCCAACCATTTGGAGGTTTAAATTTGATTTTGCAAGTTGGTTGAAGAGAGCATTAAATATCAAGAACAAACCTCTTCAACATATGTGCATGTGAAAATGCAAACACTTTTGAATAGTCTGGGACATAATAATGAAATGTCTTTATCACTTACCTATACATACAAATATATATCAATTCACTGATTATCTTAGACTATTTATAGGATTAAAACTCTTAATTAAACTAGCCAAGATTAATATTTTTACCTGATTCTTGCAGGCCACTAATGGCTGTCCGCCCATGCGTTGGCGCCGCCCATGTTTTGCGTCAATTATGAACCCTAAATCAGGATAGAGTACTGTGAATCATCATCATCAAGACAGAATTTCTTTGTTAATGTACGTAGTGTTATGAAGGATGGGAATGGTTTAACCGTGTGGAAAGGTCGTATATACGTAAGTCAGTTTCTCTCTGAATAATTATGTTTGCAGGCTTCGTGCAAAGGGTGACTATTTCCATGGAGAGTTCACGTTGCATGCTTGTAGATTTGCACTCTGGAGGACTCAGTAACGCACATATTTTAGACTTTAATTATTTTGATTATCTCTACTCTTGCCTCTTCATTTCTTTCACTGCACTCAGCTGGGCAACAGTTGAAATGAAATTGAGTGCAACTTACAGTTACAGACAGAGAGCGATCTTAGCATTAATCCATGTATAGTTTGTGTGTGATGATAAGCCTATTGATTTGAAAGAATTTGTAAGCTTTCTAGTATTCACACCCACAGATTACAACTCTCCTTGGAAGATTTAGTCAGTATTTGAAAGGATTTGTAAGCTTTCTAGTATTCACGCCCACAGATTACAACCCTCCTTGGAAGATTTAGTCAGTATGGGTTTGAGTATGAAAATAATCAAGGTGAAAGATTGATATTACATTTATAATCTAATTTTATAATTTTTCTTTTATAATTCTGACGTGATAACTTATAATTGATTAGTTTGTAAATGAGTTTCGTCTGTTTAATTGTGAACTATTTTCTCTTATAATTGTGAACTGTTTTGTTAAGATTGTAAGAAAAAATTTATAAAATTGAGTTGTGAATCAACCGAATTCGCATATATATAACTGACGTGATAATAAAATATTTTTTCTGGTCAGAGATTTAAATAAATAAAAAATCACAAAATCACCCAACAAAGTCATTTTCATTCCACCGATATTATTATCACTGTCCACTAGTGCAATATTTATTATCACTGTCCACTAGTGCAATATGAAAAAATTCCAACTTCCCAAATTCCAAGGAATATTCGAGGTGGTAAAATATGAATGCATGGTGAAGTAATTGTATGGACAAAAATCAAAGCTAAAGATTCTGATTCAATTATTAAATCCACTAGAGAACCCAATATATTGGACAATATTATTTGGGACCTCGGGAAGCTACGAAGAAGAATATGCATGGCGGATAGCGGCCTTAATCTATAGGCTTTCATTAATTTTGGTGAATAATATTAATATATGCAAGAGACTAGTTCGATTATGATCGATTAATATTTGGTAGGGGTGATTGGTTCTGGAAACCCTATATTTTTTAAAGAAACTAGAACCAACTAGTACCTAAGGTTTGTAGTCGAAATCGAAATCGAAATCGGTCAGTTTCAGTTTCGAGAAACCTAGAACCAGAATATGAAACATAGGTTTCGGTTCCGATTCCGGGTACTCGGGTAAATTTTAGTTACCCCCTATATTTTGAAAACTAACAAATACATCCTAACAGTTGATAAAAATTACAATTTAATCCCGTTCCTACTCGGGTACCTAAATCTCGGTATCTGTTTCGGTTCTGGTTCTCGGTTCCAACACCATAGGAACCGAAACTGGACTCGGACTCAAAAATTCTTGGTTCCAGTTCTATCCTTTAGCCATGCTCACCCCTAATATTTGGCACACATTAGTATTAGTGATCATATTTATTTCAATTCTATCTTGAAAGATTAATAATACCAAACATGTTGGGAAGAAGAACATGCACTATAATAAATTAATGGAAGCTCCATTGGCAAACTCTGGCTTAATCAGAAATGAAGAAAGAAAAATAGTAAAAATAAAGAGGAAAAGCTAGTTTTTGTTGGGTGCAGACTGTAGTATAAGGTAATGCTACCAATGAAGAAAGAGGAATTGAAGAAATAAATGACATAGAAAACAGAAAAAAAAAAAAAAAAAAATAAAGAGGAAAAGCTAGTTTTTGTTGGGTGCAGACTGTAGTATAAGGTAATGCTACCAATGAAGAAAGAGGAATTGAAGAAATAAATGACATAGAAAACAGAAAAAAAAAAAAAAAAAAAGCAACCCCACCACTGTGTCCACCCAACCTTAGACACAAATAAAACCCACGAAGCCCACAAAAGGACAACTTTCACAAATTCAATTTGACCTGGTATTAAATTGTATGCCACTGAGTTGTCCTTGTCCCCATTGTCCCTGTGTGTGGAGGACAAACCCCA